GACAGATGTTTTAGACGTTATTTTTTCTATACTCTTATTTGAGTAACACATTTATTTATTAACGCAAGCACGTACACACAGACACACACACACACACACACACACACACACACATATATATATATATATATATATATATATATATATATATATATATATATAATTATTTTCTTAAAAATATGATTCCATCGTGACACAGAAATTACTATATTTCGAAACAAGTCAGCAGTATTTAAGATTAATTCCACTATTAAACTAATAGGTTGCAGTGACAAAACCAAATATCAGGTCATCCCATAAGTTCTGTCCGAATTTTGAATAAAGAAAACAAGTGACCAAATGTTAGATTTAATTACAGATTCAATCAACAATGTATTATCCCTGATTATCTATGACTTCCTTCCATCTATTAAGAAGCATACTAATTCCATTTCTGTAAAATTCTTTTGGCTTTGATTCGACGAACTCACAAATGTCAGTTTTAATCTATTCCTGTGTTACAAAATCTGTTTCTTCCAAATGATTCAGTAAGCTACGTAATAAATGGTAGTCTGAAGGAGCAAGATTGGGAGAACAAGGTGGATGAGGAATTTTCTCCCAACCAAGTTCTTTGATCTTTTGTGACGAGATCCTTGCTGTGTGGGGTCGCGCATTGTCCTTATGAATCATCACCCCTTTTCGATTCACTGGAGCAGGCCTTTTTTCCTAAAAGCTTGGTTCAAACGTTCTAATTGCTGACAGTATATTTAAGCATTAATTCTTGCATTAGGTGGTAAGAATTCAAAGTTGATTATTCCTTGGCGATCCCTCTAGATTGAAAGAACTTTTTGCCCAGGAAGTTCCATTCTCGGCTGGGATCCTTCCCCTTTACCAAGCCATTGTCTACGACACTTAACATTACGATAAAAGATCCATTTTTCGTCGCCAGTCACAAGTCTATCCAAAAAAGGTAAAACAGTTTGGCGAGAATGGAGAGAAGAGCAGATGTCAACTCGGGATTTGAGGTTGTTTTCAAACAATTCATGAGGCACCCATTTTCATAGTTTAGGAACTATGCCAAGTTGTTGAAGACAATGAACAGTTTTATGGTTTGAACTGAGAACCACTGCCAATTCCTCAACTGATAAAGCAGGATTTTCTTCAAGGGCTGCTTCAAGAAGCTTTTCATCAAAATCAACTGGGCGTGCGGTTCGATTTCATTTAAGGGGGAAATCTCCACCTCTGAATTTTGCAAACCATCATGTGCAAGTTCTTTCATGCACACATTCCTCTCCATAAACTGAGTGAATGTTTCTAGCCGCTTCGGCTGCTGAGTTTCCTTTCTTGAACTCATAAAGCATTATGTGCCTCAAATGATTCTTGGGTACTTTTATCTTAGAAGGGTTTTAATCAAACAAAATTTAATTTTATTGTTCTCTGAAATAAGATCTGATCAGTTTAAATGCATCTAAACATAAAAATAATGTTCACCTCCATTAGAGATTATAAAAAAACTCTTTAAATTTTGGTCATTTTAACAAAAAATTTAAAATTCGGACACAACTTATGGGATGACCTAATATATATATATATATATATATATATATATAACGTTGTTTATCCTGTACTAAGCTCAATAGCCACTCGCAATAGACGGTTATAGAGTAAGACACATAGTTTATTGGGATCTGATATATTCTGGCCATGTACTTGAACAAGGTAATATTGTAATGAACAGGTAGGCAACCACTTCGGAGTCGTTTCGACAAAGCAGCCCTTCACGGAAATATAATGGTGCGAATATTCATAAACATAAAGTTCTGAGATCCAATCTCATTACCAAAGTTTGTGTGTGTGTGTGTGTCAGTGAAGTTTCTTAACACCTATACTTAGTGACATTTCGTTTGCAATAGTTCTCCTCAGAGGTTATGTTGAAAAGGAGATTTCAGACAATCCTTGTCCCTTTCCAATACTTGCTGATTTCTAAAACTCTGGTAATTTGTTACCAACACAATGATGACACCTGTGACCTTCTTACGTACCAGAGAAAGATCCTAAGCTCCTGATGAACTGCATCTCTGCCACTTATGCTGAATTCTGAAAACCGATCAATCTGAAAAATGACATTAGACTTACATAGTTCATAGAAAGTTTTATAAAGCACTTTTCATCTACCTCAAGGTAAAAAGTAAGAAAATTTTCGTTACACTTGGCAATACTCCATCTAGATTTAACAACTTTGATTAGGAAATCGCCTACAGGCATCATAATATATTTGACGAATATGACTTGCACAAACAGATAACATTGAAACTTTTGAAGTCAGTATCTAACAAACATGACTTGTCTCATCTGTCTAGTATGGTTACGAAACATACAAAATCTAATCAAAAAGTATTGGGGGCTGCTATGCTAGCATTGTTAAAGTCCGAAGAGTAAAGTTTCTATGTACAGATAGACCTTGCACTCTCGAAAGCACTCTCATCCGTTGTTTATAGCATTTCTTGTAAGTGGATGTGTGAAGAATTTTGTCGACTCACCACCTCACAGAATTTCCATCAGTGCCTATGGATTCTGCGGCAGTTTTTGGACAATAACATTCCTCAGGTACAATAACTACCATATTCCATAGAACTCGCCACTTGTGTCCTGTTTCTCTTTCATAAAATCAAATCCCAGTTGAAAGGAACATGTGTTCATACATCGGAAACATTCAAGAGAATGCGGGTAAGCATGCTGTCTTCCCTACAAACAATTCCAGGAATGCTTCCATCAACAGAAACAGCTAGATAAAGTGTATAGGTTCAGAAGGTAACTACTTCAAAGGAGATGATTATGCGAACATTATTAAAAAATAATTCATCGAAAACAATTATTTGAAAACAGTTATTTGAAAACATTTATACGAATTGTAAATTGTTTGAATGAAAATTAATCGAAAGGACAATTATATTAAACGATAATTATTCGGAATATTGACTTCTTTATTTTTTTAAATTTTTTTAAGCATTGACCCCAAGCAAGAAACTCTGACTTTCAACTTTCCTAAGAAATAAAAGCGAAAGAGACTTGGAAATAATTTAACATAAGACTGAAGTTTTATGCTCTTTCAGCTTCTTACATAAAATCTTGTAGTTGAGAAATAGAAGGTCCCTTTAAGAAACTGGAAAACAACTTAAACATTCGAAAAAAACGGTTGCATATTAATTTGCCAAAGTAGTTCTCTATTTTTGATCCGGCATTTTTTTTTAACGTTTTTTAAGTTATTTACAATAACAGGAGTGTCACGCAAGGAGCATTATTTACATTATTCGGACTATTGTCCTCATCTTTATCGCCATATTTATTACAACATTTCGGACACATGGCACATTGGATAAAGGCGTTAGTTAGATCCAGTGACAGGACCCAAAGACTGGGAGTTCAATACCCGGTTAAGGCAGTGGAGAACTTTCAGAGGGAAAATTAAGAGGAGATAACTGATAACTGATATCCATTAAGCATGGCACGTGGAAATAGAACAGTCTACTCCAGTGAGCGAAATAAAGGGTTCAGTTCGACATTCCAACGACATGAAAAAGGCCGGAGCGTGAAACGGCCAAAACGTTGTAATAAATATGGCGACAAAGATGAGGACAATATTCCAAATAATGTAAATAATGTACATAATACCTCATCTCAGAAATATAGACAGATACTCATGGGGCTACAGAGAGTGTTAGTCAGGGAAATTACAGGGTATACGTGGGGTTGAGAAATGGATAAAAAGAAAAACGGAGGTGGATAAAAAAAAAAGAACGGGGGTCATGGCAACCGAAGATGTCGATTGACATTACATTTAAATTTTTGGAGATTATAGTTGTTAGGTAATGAAGCAAGAAGAAGGAAATCCAACTGTCGGGAAATGCGAGGGAAGAAGCTGTTGGAGTAGAAGAGGCGGTTACTTTTCACTGTTTCGACTGTAAAAGGAGGGGGGACCGAGATACCAAACTAGTCGCACGCTTAAATACTGGAAGTCGGGGCACCAGTGAATACAGCTCCTTAGAGCAGATGCCATAAAAATATTTATAGAAAAGGCAGAGGAAAACACATTATGTCGATGAGAAAGTGAATGGAGTCGAGACCCCAAGTCAGGATCGATCACATTGCATATCCGTCTTTGGATTTTGCGGAGAACCTCGGCATAAAATGCGAGGGAACCAGACCATATATGGCAACAGTATTCTATGCATTGACGAATGGTAGATTTGTCGATGTGAAGGATGGACTCAGATGAGTAAAACCTTCTTGCACGACGCAGAGTACCAAATTTTCTTTGAGGTCAACGGAACTATTGATTCAATGTAGTTGTGTCAGTGGAGAACGTCAGAACAAGAAGGTGCAGGGAGGCACTCCCGTGGAGTTTGAGCATTAACCATGCTGGTAGGAGGCAAGAACGTCCCTCTATGGTGGGTAAATGACAGCAGTTTCGTTTTGGATGCATTTAAATTCACAAGCCATTTTCTGCACCAGTCAATCACAGGTTGGAGGACGTTTTCTTGACCAATGGCCAGATTGATTTTGTCAGCAATGCCGGATTTACTATTGAGACAGAAGTAAATGGCAGTGCACTCAGCGTAGATGACGTCTTGAGAACAGGTGAGGTCAGTAAGATCATTGATGAAGATTAGAAACTGTGTAGGACCTAGGATAGCGCGTTGAGGAAAAACAGCGTTCGAATGGACAATTTTCATGACGTCCAGGACAATTTTCATTTCACGGTTAGAGAGGAATCATTGGATTAAATCGAATAATTGTCCAGTCATACGGTATCCCATATGTCAAACGCTGTCAAAACGCGTTCGATATATCTAGAGCAACAGCTTGAGCTTCGACGTTATTATCAAGAGTTTGTCATACATATTCAGCGGTAGACTAGACAAAGTGGAAATCATATCGTTCGTCAGAGAGCAGATCGTGGGAGGTGAGAGGCTTAAGTACTTCGGCATAGATTGAAGCCTCGAAGACTTTCCTGAAGAATGCTAGGAAACTGATAGATAGATAGATAGATAGATAGATAGATAGATAGATAGATAGATAGATAGATAGATAGATCGGAACGAAAGATGCGGACCCCCAACAGTCTGGAAAGCAAGAATCGGCGCAGGAAAACTTGTAGAATTTGAAGAGAACTAGAGCCTGCTCAAGGGCAGATTTCTTTAGGACTGCGGCTATTATTCCGTGACCACCACTTGCTATATAAGAGTCTAATTTAGAGATTATATCTAATACCATCGACGGGGATATGCATATCTCACTCAGTATAGCCTCAGTTCTAGGGGGAAAATCAGGTGTGAGTACCCCGAATATGTGTTGAGCTGGATGAGAATTTCCGAGCAAACCATTCTGCTTTATCAGCTGAGGATGTTAGCTCTTCGAATTGATTGAAGAGAGGTGGGATTGAGGATTTTCTGTAGTTCAGCAGACTCTCGCAGAGCCGCCAGTATTCTTTAGAACCAAGCTTGTCATTTCATCCTATAAGCAAACAATAGCTTTGCGTCATTGAGGACATGCTTGCACTTATTACGAGCAGAGACAAGGAGTCGTCTGTTGCAATCAGACATGTCACTCAGGTACAGACGGAATAAGTAATTCCAATGTGCTATAGCGGCAGAGCAAGCAGATGAGAACCAAAGAGATGAACGTGATTTAACTTGGAATATTTTGCTGGGATGAAAAAATCGATGGCGGCTTTTACCCACGAAGAGACATCGCGAAAGAAATCCCGTAACGAGTCCCAGTGTGCGTGTTAGTAACAGAAAGATATTCTGTTAGTAGGAGGTTCAGGACTAGAGGGAGAGTAGAAGAAGATGTTAACATGTGATCAGAGTTGCCAAGAGGGAAGAGCGCAACAAGAATCAGGAATGGAGATAAAACAAAGATCGCAAAGAGAAGAGTTACCGTTCAGGTGAGTGAGGAAATGCATAGAAAGGCAACCGCTTGTGTGAGAGATTGAAAAGTTAAGGGTTTGGATGCCAGCCAAGTCAGTCACAGACTATTTAGGCCACTTGGTATGGTGGGCTTTAAAGTCACCGAATACAAATATGTTTGCAAACGGATATAAAGAGATGGCTTTGTTTTTATTATCAGGGGAATGATAGAGAAATAAAAGATAGCTTACTGAATTCCGGAGAGATGGACAGAGACACATATCCGAATGATCTGGAGATTCCAAAAAGAGTTCTCTAGCCAAGGAGAGATGATCGCGGATATAAACTCCCATGCCATGCAGGCATGCATGTTGATTTTAGCGTCATTTCTATAGTGAGCAAGGTTGCTAGGAATCGAGAAGGTTTAGGGTATTTTGTAGTTTGTTGAGATTTATATTTGTAGTTGCTTTTCCTTACGTTGTTAAGGAAAAGGCCTAAAGTAACATAGGGAGTAGGTCATTAAAAATGGCATGAACAGAAAGAAACTAGCGCAGGCTACAACATAATGAGGCCTCAGTGTTGCCCACCGGGGGGCTAATGCGGGAACACCCATCCATGAGCGATATGGCAATGCAAGAACCCCGATATTATACAACTGTTAATCATAGCAGCCTCTCAAGACGCTACACAAGTCTTCGCGTTCCTAACTACCAGTCAGGAACCGAAACGAGAAAACTGCCAAACCGTATGAAGAGACGTCACCACAAAGCGCCCACATCACAAGACATTTTCGTAAACCTAGGAAAAACAAGCAATTTAGCTGAGGTTCTTTGCTCCTGAAAAAATTCCTAATCAAAGGCCTTGCTATCGGATGTTGTCTATCGTTTTACTCTGGACGCGGATGTAGTTTACCCAGGACAGGTAAGCTGGTTCACTATTCATCCATACTATGAATATTGCTGCCACACTTCGTCTACTGTTTCTGCTATATATTTAAAGATTCGTGATAGTATACAAAGGATGTGAAATGTTATTGGCCCTCAACTGACATCTAGGCTCGTGTAAACTTTCCTTCCGCCGTGATATAGGTTCTCTGTAGCTTTTATATGAATAATTTCATTGTACTTGTTCTCATTTTCTTTCCCCAATTTTGCTTAAACTTTATGAATTTAAGTGTTGTAGTAGAGTGACGGCTAGTTCTCATCTTTTTATTTAAAAAAATGGCTAGATGTAACTGTAAGTTCTATGTTAATAACTCCTTCTGTCGCAATTCTCTCTTGTTGTCCACTCATTCCGGTTTCTTGCTTCCCAGTCAATTTTCATCTTCAAAAATGTAAATGCAAAGCTAATCTTTGTCTTCCGTTTTCTTAATTCATCTTCATTTATTTTTCACTCTCGTTAACAGGGTTTTCTCATATAAAATTACACTCAGTAATTCTTCAATCTTAATTGATTCATTCTCATTTTGGTGGCGAAATGTTTAAGATTTGTTTTATGTCAGAATTAAATTTCCCTAGTCTGCTGTAAGCAATTCTTTTTTAAAAATAATAAAATGATGATTCACGTACAAATTCAGTCCTACCGTTATAGATGTTACTTTTTTAAGTGGCATAAAATTGGTGACAGCAGGTTAAGGAAAGTTAATTCTGACATAAAACTAATTAGAAGTTAGAAAAAGGAAATAAAAATGTTGACATACAGAAATTCTTCAAATTGTTGATAACTCTTATTAAAAGAAAATATATATGATAAACGTTGTTTTAAGGTATGTCATATTTATGAGATCAAGTGATCGATATCAATGATAGAGCTTATGAAAAAATATAAGTGGACATCGTGAACAACACCCAGTGGTGACAGTCTGTTTCATGCTGATACGCAATCGCCATATCAACTAATATTTATGTAAGTTTATATATATATATATATATATGTACTTATATACATGTACATATAGTTTCGCATTCAGACAGAGACATAGATAACTTGTTTGTAAACATCGTATATATGGCTATGTCTACTAATGTTCTGCTTTCTAATCTTTTATTCTACATTTTGTATATTTCTCATATATATATATATATATATATATATATATATGTGTGTGTGTGTGTTTATACATATATATATATATATATATTATACATATATATATATATATATATATATATATATATATATATATATATATATATATGAGGAATATACGTTATATATATATATATATATATATATGAGGAATATACGTAATGAACATTTAGGTGAATACCCGGCGGCAAGTTTCTGTTTTAAGATTAAATGCAATCAACAAACCATGTGCGTTTTTCTGCTTGAATATTGATGATGGTTGATTGGATGATGTGTGTATAGAGAAAATTTTATCATTACATTTTCTCTATACTTGATATGTAACTTTTCTTAGGTTGAAATCTTGGAAATCTCCTTTTTTTAGGTTAGTTTTATGTCTGTGTTGAATCCCATATTTTCCAAAAACAATTATTGTTTTTCTGGTTTTGTCTCTTTATTGTCAGTTACAGATTCTTCAGATTACGAGATCGTCGTCGCTATATAAGCCTATATGATATTTATTATTTTCTGTTAGATTCAGATACCAACCATATATAAAATCTAATGACAAACCACTCTATATACAACCATAATCCAACTACCCCCCAAAAAGCAGATCTCACAAACAATTAACAGCTGCTTGTCTGGCAATTCTTCCAGTAAAACCATCTTCAACGAAGCCAAGCGAGTTCTTGAGACATGTATAAAGGTAGTGAATTTTCGGCAAAACAACGTACAGCACAAGGAGCCAACAGGAAAAACACATCATATTGTTCAACTCACAGTGCAACAAATACTTAAAAACAAACGTAGAAAAATATTCATTAAACTCACATACATACACTTACTCACCACCAAGCGCTCATCACAAGATTTACAATGAAAACATAGTATCAACCAGCTGCAGTTGCACCGACAACAAGGCACAAGTAAAAAAAAAAAAAGAACACAGGATAACAAACAAGAAATAACACCCGCACAAATCAAGCCCACCTATAACTGTAGAGCAAAGAATGAATCTCCCTTAAACGATAATTGCTTACAAAACAATGTAATATTTCAAGCCACTGTAGAATCATCAGATAACGAAGAAAAAGTATATATAGGAGTAACTGAAATACCTGGAAACAAAGAAACTACGCACACAGAACATCCTTTACAAATACTATACACACGTATAGCACATTCCTTTCTAAGTATATCTGGAAGATTAATAACAGAAAACAAAAAGAAAAAGAAAGCAAACAAACCACACCATTACATCATGAGAAATAAGGAAAAGAACATCAGCCTTCAATGACCAATCCCAAAACTGTAATCTCTGTTTGGAAGAAAAATATATAAATTACATTCTCAATACAAAACAAACTATTAAATAAACGATCAGAACTCATCTCAAAATGCAGGGACGAAAACAAACATTTATTACATTAGTTAAAAATCGAAAACTGAAAAAGAAGAAGAATAAACGAAAATAAATAAAATAATAACATAAATAAGTAAAATAAATTAATAAAAAAATCAAATAACTTAACTAAGTAAATAATAAATAAATTAAGGAAACACGCCCACTAAAATAACAGTTAAAATAATACAAAGATTATTATAATTGTCGATGCTATTACGCAGAATGTAACAGACTACTCACACTGCATCACTGAGATGTATATATAAAAAGTGGAGCAAAAACACAACGCACAGTGACTGGCAATTGCGTTTAGCATGAAACAGTCTTTCTCTGGGGGCTGACTTAAATTTCCACTTTTATATTCATATACACCCTATCCCCGATACTGAGCTCTTTAACCGTTAGCCTAACTGAAAACTATATTTTATCACATCCATACACACACACACACAGACACACACACACACACACATATATATATATATATATATATATATAGAGAGAGAGAGAGAGAGATAGTGTTGTGGCACCATTTATCAAGGCAAAAAAAGAAAAGAAAGGAAAGAGAGGAAGGAAAGAAAGGAAAAGAGAGGGGAGACCCAAACGTGGATGATAAGTAGGACACCCACGATTAAGAGACAATGGATAAAGGATATTTTGATAAGTAACAAATGACGAAGAGTGTCATTACAATGGCACGGAAATTCTGAGTGGATGGGGGAATCGTTGTGTTCTGGCG